ATATGTCCACAGTCTGACTGTTAATACACGGGGTCTCATCACGGGAGCGCGGACCGATCGCCTTTAATCTGGAAGCATTTGTTTGATCTCAGTTCAACTTCTCTTCGATCTTATAAGTTGTTCAGTGAATCATCTTGTTTGTTCGTGTTTTCAAGACTCGTGTTTTTCAACTTCTATGAGCCACTCAGTAACTGAAATGTCTGAGTTACAGGAGATGTACAGTGTTATTAGAACAGTGATCCTGGAACAGGGCTGACCAAAACCATTCTTACTAGGCTTCTCAAATGTGCAATCCCTTCTCAAACATAACTGTGACAGTTACATGAGAACAGTTAACAACAGATCAGCTCTGTGTTTTCCTTTTTCTACGATCCAGATCTTTTCCTCATGACGTTTTGTTGTTTATTTTCCAGCCCAGTTCGGATGTGCAGTCAGCTCGCAGCGCGGCCACACGGATCCCTGTGTCAAAAGGTATGAAACCGAGCAGCAAAGCGGTTCTGGGCGTATCGACGGTGACGAGGTTAGAGTCGCGGGCCGAGAGTCAGTCGATGAAAATCGAGCTGAGGAAGTCAACGGTTTGTGGCTCTGCCTCCTTGATGGGAGGCAAGAGCTGAGGGCAAATACACCAAACGGCAATCTGCTGCCAAATATGAGTGACAGGCCACCTCAGTGTACAAACACTATATTATTTCATTCATCTTCAGTTTGCATTTATTCATGTTTTCAGAACATATTTTATGTAATTTCAAGGGCAGGTTTTTAATGTTTTATGTGATTTTTATGAAGCATCTCTCTGCATGTCTCCTGTGCATTTTGATTAACTTCATATGGGTGATATTTGGCAGTAGTTCTAAACTTGTTCTCATCATTTACAGTTTTCATAGCATGTGTTTATTTCCCCACCGCTTGTGGAGGTTTCCATTCACTGGAGCACTGTGAATTGTTTGCGACAGTATCATTATTTGTGACAGGCACCAAAATAAAAACTATTTATCTCTGAAACATGGCGTTGCTTTGTAGCGTTCCTTTGTTCATGGTGAGTTTGAGCTTAAACAGTGGTGAGAATCAACCAGGAAACCTCCATATTATTAACTCATGCTGCTAAACCAAACACTGCTCGACAGCCATGAAAACTAATTTTCAGACCTTTACATGTTCATGTCATGTTTCCATGGCTTGTGTGAAATTATAAGACACGTCTTGGACGTAGAAAAAAACTCAAAGTGCACACTGACATATTTTAAGGTAGAGAGTCTAATGAAAAAGTGGTCAGTGGTTTCTGTGGTTTTCCAGAGTGAGTGAGTTATAACACAGTAAAATCTAACCACACGCAGATGAAACGTATATTTATAGATATAGTGTGACTTATACTTCCCGAGGATAGTACATCTCCCATGAATAAACTTCAGTAAATCCACTTAGAAATCATAAATACTGAGACCATAGACCACTGGTTCCCAACCACTAGGGATCGCCAAAGCTTCACGAAGCTTCTTGATTTTAAGGGGTGTAAGAAAACTTAAAAATATACACAGTCGGCATACCTCAGCATTTTTGTTCAGTTCAAAAGTAAATGTAAACTAAATAAAACTGTTATTTTAAAAATTGTGATTATTATTTAAGATGTAAAACTATATGTATATTATTATTATTATTATTATTATTATTGATCACAGTGTACTCTGACAAAGCTTCAGTCTCATCCTGCATTATAACAACCAAAGAGCTGAAAGAACAATTAGAAGAAAACTCAGAATCTGTCAGAAAAGAAAAATATTAAGTCTGTATGATTGTTAAAATTGATTAATATATATATATATATATATATATATAATACAGACAGAGAATTGTATAAAAAGTTCCCTAAACTGATTAAAATCCTTTTTTTTAATAAAACTTCCTGCAGTTACTGAGTTTCACTGTTTGGGTTCATTGTACAGTTTTGAATATAATATAAAAAATATACATAAAATATGTCACTTAGTTTACTGAATGATAGAAAAGGGTCATTTAGGAAAAAGGTAGGAACCGCTTATATAGCAGACTCAGTAAGCATCTAGCTCCCTCTTGTGGACAAGTATAAAAATACAAAAGGTAGAAACTAATTTAGAAATCTGACATCTCTGAACAGATCAATCAGATGAATGCCCCAAACATCCTCTAATGGTTCTCTCACTATCAATAAACCATAATTATCTGCAGGCCGTCATGTTTTCAAAAACAAAGGATTTGATCTGTGCACACTCTTCTGCCTCAGTTATCTTCAGCAGTCAGCAGAGAGAGCGTTGGTGTGAGGAAACGAGGGGCTGAGGGAGGGAGATAGAAGCATCTGGAAAACTGGAGGGTAAACAAGAAGAGAAACACCGGTTCATAACCAGCTGAGGGTTTTTGTTTAGCCGTGACTCCCCAAGGCTGCTGCAGGCAGATTTAGGTGGATCAAATGTTGTTCCTGGGAACAACATCAGAGGCTGGGCAGGATTATTAAAATCACATCTGAGCATGAGACGGTCATTTTTACTCTGAGGACTTTAAACCATCAGCAGCTCTGAGCCCTGAGCTGGGTGATATACTGAATGTTAATTACATGATATCAGAATACGGCTGCAACTGATGATCTGAGTCATCTGTTGATTACTTTTACAATTAATCCATTAATTAATCATTTAATCCTTAAAATGTCAGAAAACAGTCAAATTACTTGTTAAGTCCAAATCCCAAACGGTTCATAATTAAAGGTCCAGTATGTAATTTCTGCCACTAGGGTGTCTCTCGCATCAAACAATAACAAGAGGAAGTTTGATGAGGTGGTGAAGCAGCGCGGGATCATGGGAGTTGTTGTCTTCACCACCAGCGTGCAGCTTGAGAACAAGAGTTTGTCCTCCATGAAAGTGGAGGTTGGAGGATCATCTGTCTGTCAAGCATATGATCTTAATGAAACTTTGGGGAAAGATGAATGTTTGACGTCCTTATCTGTTTTCATATCGAGCTTTTTTTGCCGATCCATCCTGTGGCCTCTCCTCCTGCATGGTGGACGGGAGGTCGTGTGTCTGAAGTTGTTTCTCCTCGAACCACATTCCTCACATACTTGATAAAGAATGTTTATTTTTACTTACAAAATTGAGTTAGTTTTCATCAGTTCCAACTTTTTTTTGAGTTAAATGAACTTATCTGGTGTTACAGTGTCACCCTACAACTTTACACCCTACATCTGTAATGCAACCCACTGGTGACCAGCTCATTTATTCTTCTACCTTTTAAGGATGATGTTGACACCGGAGCAGATTTGAAGCAGTTACATAAAGTCTTAAGGAAAGCCTTTTCATTTTTTTTTTTCTTCCCCTGTAATTAAAATGTACTTCTCATTTGTGACTGCTATGCATATAAAACAGTTCCAGGTTGGTTGGCAGCGCTGCATGAGGGAGAGCTCCTGGCATCCATGTTGCCATGACAGGACGTTGTTTTTGACACTAAACACGCCGGTAACAAGTCAACAGCTATCTGCGATATGCCACCCTCTGGCCCTATTAAAAAGCAACCTTTGTTTAAAATACACCCTGTTTTAATACGGCTTGGCTCGGACTCGCAGCGTCTGGCAGCCGCGAAAACTCACTTTTCTTTATGAGACGCCTTTAAAAGAGCCACAGCCTCTTCTGTTTCTGCAGCTCGGCTCCATGTTTCTGTCTGTGAGCTGATTCTGGGATGGATGACAGGTTGATTTGTTCCTGAGAAGTTTGAATTTAATGGCTTTGTGATCTCGAGACGCTAATGGAGGCACGCAGTTGTTGCTCTTAATTGAGACATCCACAAAATGATTTATAGCAGGTAATTAAAACAAATGATAGTGCTTTTAAAAAGATAATAGGCTCCTGAAGTCTTCGGCTGACAGCAAAATTATAAATCAGTTTTTTTGTGCTTTTTCTCTGATCAGTTCAACTGCAGCAGATGAATTGTCAGCCTGTTTTTTTTATTTTTTATTTGGGATTAACTGTACAGAAAACAGAGGGGGTTAGAAAGCCAGCAGCCATTGTTCCTCATGATTAGCATGCTCCATGACTAAACTTCACCAGTTTATATATTTGGCAGCACCAAAACAGGCTGAAGAGCTGCGGTAACTTTCCACTGTGCCACCGCAGGCTGCTGCACATTTTATTGCGACATGCAGAGGTGGCATTTACACAGCAGTAAACGCGCTCCCAAACTCTGACTACAACTTGTGAACTTTCTGTTCCTTCATGTTTTTTAAAGCTGGATTTAAAGCGGGAGGGGAGGGTTCGTCAGTCAGCTACACGACGGCAGTGCCTTGCTCAACAGCACCTCATCGCCTGTTAAGAAGAGGAGGGCGTCAATCACTCTTCTTATCCAGACCCTGAATTTGACTATTTGAACATCTTTTTTGTTGTCTTTGCCATGAAAAGAAAGAAAATTCAGACAAAATCTGAAACAGTTGATGCAACAAAGACAGAAAATCCTGCACACTGACGATCACTTGCACTCCCATTAACAAGAGTTTGGTCCCAAAAATCATACAGAATCTACCTGATGAAGGTCTGAGGACTGAAAGGTTAATTATTGAGTTTTTATCTGAAAAAGTGATAATCACTGCAGATAATATAAAGCGATTCATCTTACAAACTGTATCTTCAATAGCTCTTCATATTGCTTCGAATATTAAAATTAAACGTTCTCCGTTCTGTTTAATCTCTACAAGCTGTTGCAACACAAGAAAGTAACATGACATTCAGTTCCTGCTTCTGTTAACCCGAGTCTATGAGCAACCGAAGGACAAGAGGTCAAAGGTCAACAACACAGGTCTTATTTTCAGTAAGTATAAGTAATAAGTTATAAGTATCAACCGAACACACTCTATTCTCTATGTAATTAACAACATTAAGTCAATGGAAGTATTTCAGACACCAACTCCTGGAGGAAATATCTGTCTCTTTAGCTCCACTATGTTCATCAGTAAGTCTCTAAAGGCCAAAACACACCAAACAGCATGCATCAAAACAGCCGCCCTGGTCATTTTCTATCTATAACCCCCACACTGGCTTTATAATGGCTTTATAAAGACGTTGCCTGGCGACTTAGTGGCGTATGATAGTGTCTTTTTGTCCATTTCAGTGTCCTTCAGTTGAAGAAGACTCAGCAGGTAGTGAACGGAGGGTTTTTACAGTTTCTTCTCTGGAAACAAATCTGTGTACTTTGCTGCCAACAGATTTTACATTTTGAAATAAGAAAACCAAAATCAGGAAACGGGTTGTCTCTTCTTCTTCTTCTTCTTCTTCTTCTTCTTCTTCTTCTATCTCAAAATGCTGAGAAACTTTGTCAACATTTTGTTAATATCTTCTCCTTATAATGACTTACAGAATCCTTTTGTTATTGGCAGAAATGGGCGTCCATAGTTTGGTCTGGAAGACTGTCCTGCATGAAGCCCTGACCTCAACCATCCAACGCGAGCCAGACCTTATCAACATCAGTGCTGCACCTCACTAATGCTCCTGTGGCTCCAACAACTGATTAAAAGCCTGAAATCAGAAGAGTGCAGGATGTTATAACAGCAGGATGATGCCCAAAATCATTCAACTATCACGTAAACGTTCAAGTATCCACATATTTGTTTCTGCAGAGTAACTCAGATCTCCCCTCCATCAAGATTAAACCTCATATTTCCAGAGTGGTGATGCAAAAAAAGACATTATTTAACTTTCACAGACAGTTGACAGAACTACTTAAGTTTCCGTCTGGTCGTCTTCGGCTTTGACACGTCTCCAAAATGTGAAATGGCACCAAACATGGGACAGTGATCAGGTCGAAGCTTTCAGACATAAGAGGTCTCAAATTAGCATCGGGCCACCGACAGACGCAGGGGTAAAGGATGTAGATCAAGATATGATTAAAGGTCGCAGCCACACCAAATTACAGGCCTTCTGCAGTCATGTTATTTTCCATGTCAAGCCGGTCTGGAATGGCTCGGACCTGCGGCTCATCCTTCAGTCCTGGTTAGCGGTGAAAGCCGTGCAGCCCGAGGAGACACGGCAGGCTGCAGCTCTGGTTAATAGTCGTATCCGGCACAGGCCTGTTCTGGTAAATTGGTGACAGATGTTGGTAAGTTTGGATGCGAATTGGGGCTTTCAGAAGGGAGGTTTGTTTCGATCTGTGGAAGTAAGGAATTAAAAAATGGCTTTCATGAGTGGAATTCAGGGTTTGTGTGTAGCTTTTAGTGCCTTAATTACATTTCTTTTCACAGTGTAGAGATTTAGGGGAATTGATCACAAGTTTTGTACTTTGAAAGTGACACTCAGGACTTTTTCATTAAAGCTTTTGTTGGTCATACAATAGTCATACAATAGTTTGATGATGTGGTGAAGCAGTGTGGGATCATG